TGCATTCCCTTTTTTTTTCCTTTCCATATCGTCTCTGCTGACCTCCAACCCCCCCTCCTTTCCCTCTCACCTCTCATCGCATGGTCATGTACTTTAGCCATCCATCTCCCACCTCTGCAGATCCGAATGTCTCAATAAGTCCCAGGGACCATGAAGGTTCAATTGGAATCACATGTTGTAGTCGAGCAGAGAATTTCACCCCTTATAAATAAGATGTCAGTCCAGTCTGTGTAATTCTACAGAGCTTGTATGCTCTCTTTATATGAGGAAAGTGTAGTATTTATAAAGTTTGTGTATGCGTAATGTTTACTTTGCCAGCCAAAGTAATGTAAGTGACATTTTTGACACAGATCCTGATGTGCGATTTAGTTTTCCTTTTATTGGAATGCCTTGTGACTTCTAAGAGCAAAGGGTCTGACTTTTCTGAAGAGTTATTTCAAATTTGTCATGAAAATCCATTTCATTGTCGCCCTTTCAATTGAAAAGGAAATAAAGATAATTCTTTGTTTGTGCAGGACATGCCAAGTCTAAGTTAAAAAGGGAGTGAGACAAAAAGGGAGGAAAGAGAGAGGGTTTACCCACTCAAGATCAGCAAGCAGATACAGTACAAGCATTTTTCTTTGCGCGCGTGTGTGTGTGTGTGTGTGTGTGTGTGTGTGTGTGTGTGTGTGTGTGTGTACGTGTGCATGTCTGATAGATGGATCCTGTCTGGTAGATTCATGTTCATTGCAAGTGTGCTTTGCATCTAAGGCCAAATGGCTGCTCAATTTAGTTGTGATTAAATACTCCAGAGTGATTCAGGCTCAAAGGCTGCTAGCAATACTAATCAGCACACTCAGGCAAACACACACACACACACACACACACACACACACACACACACAGTGCACCCATAGTCACTGATTGAGGATGTGGGAGACAAAGTTTACAGGCTGGCTAATCATAATAATGTACCTTTTTTATTGTTTTAGGAAGGCATCACTCAGCAGAATCCTGCAGTACCTCTCAGTGAGCACCCACAGGGAGACAGCGCTGTAATCTGTTAATTTAGAGCCTGGAAGTGATTTAGCTTGACTAAAGCAGGGCAGCCTCTTTGGTCCAGAGGTTAAGTTCAGTCGGGGTTGGACCATCACAGGGTCAATACATAAATTTAAGGTTGAGACGTCTGTACCTGTGCGGGGGGATTGAGGTGAGATGGATGTGACAACCACATCTTCAAAGACAGCAGCACATGTTCAGGTCATAAAAAGTTAACTTACAGTTTTTTCTTTTCTTTTTTGAGTAGAGCACACTTTTGATGTACAATGGCTGTGATGCCAAAGACAATGTCTAAAAATTTCAGAGTCCAACAGGGTTTTTTTGTCATTCTTTTCTGTTGCTGGACTAAACTGGGATTATTTCACTACAACACCTTCTGTATCTCATCCATCTCAATAACAAAACCTACTCTTTTATTAGTGTCTTTCAGCAGAGGCCGCTTGATGAATGGGAGTTTGACAATCTTGATGAAGTGACTTGGTGGCTGCCAGAAAGAGATGGATCTCTGTTTGGCTTTTCAGATAAATTCACAGATTAGATAAACCTCCCCTTGAAAACTTGGGTGGGGGTTAGTGCCCCTCACCTCCTAACCTTTCATCCTGCTCTTTTCTTCCACCAGTTTTTGCCCTCCACATAAAACATCACCCACTCAGATTGTGAAAGTTTTTTTCAGTTTAGTGTTCAATCTTTTTTACAGTCACACAACAGACAGAAGTTGGTGCTACACAAGATGAAGTGTCACTACTGGACTTTCTTGTTACTATAGAGGGTATGCACTTGATGTCACAGTTGGAGGGGGTCTCTGCACTTACAGCCACTCAGTGGCAAAAAGTACACACTGATGTCAGGAATCAGTAGGAAATAAGCAGCTTTAATTGAGCCTAAAGGGCGGTCTTTTCAGAAAATATGTATTCACTTTGTGTTCTCTGCGGGTAGTATTAATCCTCAGCTGATCTAATATGTTTATAGAAACATTCTGAATTGTAATGCTACTTTAATAAAGCCACAGGGCAAACCATGCAGTTACAACAGCACATACTGTATGCATCATATCACCGAACCTCCGTGCATTTAGTTAGTGATGAATATAATGTTACTCCACTCCACTCTACTCCCTCTTGTTTTTGTGTTTTTGTTTTGGGGTAAAATTGAGGGCTTGTATTTCATCAGATGATACAGTAAATAAACAATGATGACTCAGCACCTATGGACAACGGACTATGTTTTTATGCTAGGTCATAAAATCCTGCAAAGTCTGATTAACATGGCTGGTTTCACAGTGAAAGATAATACAATGTATACGTCCACAGATATGCAAAACTATATAAAGCAATTTACAAGTATTTTTCATACCTTAAAGTTAAAGTTACCAACTAATAACAGTTCCTGACTTTACTACTAAAATTATATTGAAGTTGAGAGTGTAATTGACACTTCAGAAAATTACAGGAGGCAACAACAGTTTAACGGTTGCTAAAATCAAGCTAGCTTATACTCTAAAGAAAGCCTGGTTACGATGAAGTCACTTCAAAAACAGCACGCTGTTGTGTGATTGACTCTAGTCTACAGAGAGATTCAACAAACGTCAAATCTTTTGACAAACTTCTGAAAGCCGAAGAAAAAAGAAGCAAATGGATCACTGAAATAGGGAGAAACAACTAATACAAAACTTTGTAGTGATCCAAAACTGTGATGTTTATTCAGTTTCACATCCACCTCTGTTGATCCAGGCCTGTGTGCCATCAGGCTATGCTTTGTGTAGCTACTTTGAAGCAAGTGTTGAAATCAGTTAGGTATATAAATGTCAGGAAACAGGATTTCTGGCCACATATAAATGTCCACCGTCCACTGTGTCTTGAGTAAATAGTCATGATCTCTGTTGAGTCCAGATGTTTAGGTAGATGTTCCTGGTTTACTCTGTTTTTGTCCTTTTCAAATACTGAAAACAGCCATGTCACATTATGTTTTGACACTCTGTCCGAATGAGGGGGCATGGTCTGCTGGAAAAGTGACGTCACTGCAGACGCTAGGAAGTTATTGGGAGTCCATGTCTGGAGCAGTGGTGTATAGAAGACCATCCTGTGCGTAGGTTAAAGCTGTGAATCAGACACATCTTTTCTGAATCATAACACATTGTGCTCCCTTCCTTGCCCATATTTGACTGGATGCATTATGACCAAAGAAAAAGTAATGAAACAAGGGATGCCAGTGAGACATTCACTGAAGGGCAAAAAAGTCATCATAAGCTCTTTTTGGCCATGAATTTAAAACTGGACTGTATTCAAAACAGATCACACTGACATTTTTTCTTTACTTTGGATTTCTTGGTGCATTTTTTTTAAACTTAAAAGAATTTGTTTCCTCATTATACATTGTGAATTGGCAGGTCAAGCAGAATAAGCCTACAGTCTAAAGTCCTTGCTCTGGTACGAGACAAATGTAGGTCTGTGTGTGTGTGTGTGTGTGTGTGTGTGTGTGTGTGTGTGTGTGTGTGTGTGTGTGGGTGTGTGGTGTGTGTGGTGTGTGTGTGTATGTTCCTATTACAGTGAGCGTTAAAAGGAATAACAGTGAAGGTGTGGGGAGACGAAAAGTGTCATGTTGGTCCTGCTCTGTGATTAATGGTGTGATTAGCCGCTCCGATCCATGTCAGAACCCACGTGCATGCACACACAAATGTATGCACAACATGCTAGCACACATAGGCCTATTAATGGCCTTGAACAGGAGAATCCAGGATCCAGATGCGGCATGCAGATAATTGTACTAAAAACAAAACGTGAAGTCCCAGGCTAGCAAGACTTTATTCTGAGTTTGGTGTGTTTATTTTCCCAATTGAGTTATTTCTGCAGGGACTTGAATCATGGAATAAAAACACTCCAATACAGGTCAATTTTTTAATTGAGTCCAAAGTGTATTTTGAATGCACCCTCCCTCCTCTTCCTCTAACCCTCACCTCACACAAACCCACACATTACCTTACCATTCTGGATGAATGCCCTACTTTCAAATGCGATTTAAAAGTCTGGAGTTCAGCTGTGTTATGTTTATCCAACTTAAAATACCCTTTTGTGTCCACAAACTGGTTGTACAGCTTGAAACTCCTTCAATATTATTTGAGATTAATTTTGCGGAGACAAAAAAAAGCGTACATTAATCGAGCTAGGGTCTGCTGTACACCTTAGCGTTTTTTTCTCCCTTATTGTCAGTAGTCTCTTCTTATTTCTTTTTACAGTGTCCATAAAGGTCAGTGGCTAGCATTGAGTGTGTGCACCTGGCTATCGATGAAAAACATGTTTGTGCTTCTGAGTGTGTTTACCAGAGTGGGCGGATTAAGTGTAACAACACTGGATTTACGACATCCTGCTAGATGGCGAGGATAGTCATCACCAATCTGCTGCGAAAAACTTGCCACTTCTCTGCACCAGTCATTCTCTTCAGTCTTTGGGTTGTAAATTTGCTCGTCTGGTTTTGTGAACGATGACGTTGCTTGTATGTAACCTCTGCACCTGTAGACAGTCATTTGTTGCCCCCCTCCCCTCCTCTCCAAACATACGTACTCACAGACACACAAATACACACTGTGGTAACAATGAGTGACAGAGGAAAGATGTCATATCCTCCTCAGCCCGCTCTATTTGGCTCCATTACATTATTACACATCCATGAGTCACACTGAGGTACCACTATTACAGCACTTACAGACCACTTCAAAGATGTCTGCTTCTTTTCTGTGGAATCTCTGTCTGAGTCTCTGGAATGAGTGAGTGCTGGGACTTCTGTATACATACAAGGGCTCGCAACTGCGTGTGGGTGCTGTGTCTTTCAGTTGTCCACCTGTTTATTCTTTGGCTGTTATGTTTTTCACAAATACATTTTTTTTTTTGAAGGATAAACTTTTTTTTATATTCAACATCCCTTGTCCCTATCTTTCCCACCCTTATTTCTCATTCTTCTCCCCTCAGGCAGCAGGCTTTGCTGGCAGCCATCAGTGAGAAGGATGCTAACATAGCCCTGCTGGAGTTGTCCTCCTCCAAACGGAAGAAATCCCAGGAGGAAGTGATTGCTCTGAAGAGGGAGAAAGACAGGCTAATGCATCAGCTCAAACAGCAGGTACATCTACCACACATGATCACAAAGCCCATGTGCATTTACACGATGTTTAGATCTACAGCACTCCTGGTCCGAGAGGTTGACCGGCCTGCTCATGAATCTAATGAAGCCTGGCCTTATGGCCAAAGTTAATGGCAGATTTTGGCATTGTGATTCATAGCCGGATTTTAAATTCAAATATGCTGCAGGTGACAAAGCCGTGTCTGTGCTAAAACAGCCTCATTGGCAGACGTTTAAAACCAGATAGTTACTGGTTTTAATCTTTAAAACCACTAACAACTAGACGCTAATTCCTGTTAGTTAACAAAATAGACATCCTCGCCATAAACCACACCCTACTGCGTTCAGTCATCTTAAGCCAGAGCATTCAAGCAGGAGCTGTGATTAAACATCAAGCACATAAACACATTCGCAAAGCTATTCTCTCAACTATCATGTTGCAATCGGAGTTCTTAGATGTACCCAAGTCACAGACATAGGTGGTCATCTTTGGTGAGTCACTGGCGGACTTTTGTGTCTTATAACTTCTCGTCAAACAGACGAATCCCAGCACACAAAAAACCAAGCACACAAAACTATTTCCCATCTTGGCCCAGCTTTCAACATAACCTGAGGCTGATGAAGGTATGCAGGTCATTAAGGTCTGGTCAGACCACATCAGTGACTGAGCTAACGTGAATGCTAACAGTAATGAGGGAGCAGCGGGGAGTCCACATATACAGTCTCCTGAGTCACATGGGCTTCTGGGAAACATGGTGCATTTAAAAGTCAACAGATGTAGTGGCTGGGTGTGCTTTTTAGTGCGGACCTGTTTGTTCGTGTCTCGTAAACGGTAAACACATCCTAGGGGGGGTGCAATTCTATTCGAGGAATTTCGAGGAAAGCCTATTATCTGTTTATCGCCATTGGATGCGTCATTTTTCCTGTTGGGCAGTTACAGTCCACCTGATGGTGTGATGAGCTCTAATTGCAAAGACCTGGCCTCATCGCCTTTAGCAGCAGAGAGGAAAAAAAAGATGAATAGAAAGAGGAGAGGTTTAGTATTTCTGTGCTTCCTACAGTACAAGCAAAAGAATCACACTCATATAATTTCATGTAAGTACTACTGCTTTGTTGAAATGTGTATCAGGTAGTGCTACAGCCACTTAGCATCAAGTCGAATGTTTTAACGTAATGCATGTTGTAAGATGAGTACTTAGGGAGGGAGACTTTTGCATGACTTAGGTTCCTACTATTCCACAGAAAGAGCTCCCTAGAGATCACGCTGTCCGACATGACACACACCGACTCTCTGTCTTCTGACCCATTGACACACATATCAGGAAAGGTTGCCTTTCTCAGCTCATGGCGGAAGGAAACTGACCAGGAAATGCCAAAGAATTATAGGAGCCAAGTCTCATAGGAGAAAATTGATCTGTAGGCAGCAGATAGATTTACAGATAGCAGTGCCCTGTCTGACCTCCCCACATCCCTCTTTTGGAAGATCGCGTGTGTGTGTGTGTTTGCATAAAGACGACCGTCTAAAGCAAACTTTCCTTTCTCAGACAGTTTTCTTCCCTTTGTGGCATTGGCCTTTTTTGACACAGACAAACATATACAAAGATATAACCGCAGACATACAAATGATGTGTGTAGTGTTTAGACTTCTGAAAAAAGAGAGTCAGAAGAAATCTGCCCCCATGTGGGAATTCTTTCAGCGGTCCCATCCTGTTGATGGATGACCAAACATCACTGGTGCTTTGAAGGCAAAAAAAGATAAATATGGAATCCTCAGAGGTGTGCCAGTTTCTCCTTTCTCTCCCACTCTTCTCTTGACACACTTGAGCATCAATCCACGTTGTATATTTAGAAGATGGATTAGTTGTTGCCAATAGTGTGCCATGTAGAGCAGCTTATATATTGGAGTGGGGTTACTGTGTTTTTCCATCTTGCTAGGATAGCATTCCAGTGTTTCACACATACATACAAACACACACAGACCTGATTAAAGAAGTATGCAGAAGTGTTGTGAAACGTCTGCAGCCTTTCTTTGGCTGCCTGTTTGTTTAAGGCCTTTCTTGTCAGCCTCCTGTGTCCATGTGTGTTAATACGCCTCGGCTGTAATCAGGACAGGCTTGTGATTTGCAGACGGTTTGCGTTGAGGTTTGGGATCCAGCTGTGAGCACGGCAGCGGGATCTTCACAGCCATGTTTACACCAGCAGCTGCACTTTTATACACATGCACAGACCCCTTAATCTCCTCTCGTCTCTCCTCTCTGTTCTCTGCTCTCCTTCCTTTCCTCTCCTCCCCCAGTAGTGCCACCTGTCTCTTCTCCAGGCAAGCCTAGAGGCCATAACCGAGCTGTTTACTCTGTAAATTCTCTCATTAACACTAATTAAAACACACACATTCCACCGCACAGACTTTTTACGAGTGAAGAACGTCTCTTTACGTGCACAGAAGAATATGGCTGTAAGTGCGTGTATGTCTGTTTGCATTAACTGGCCACATGTGCACAGTCCTGATAATGCAGTCTGGCTCTTACAGCAGCAATTCATCACTTATTTCATCTATGTTTGTGTCTCAGATCATTAAATATTAACTATGTGCACTTGCATACACACACAAGTGATGAACTCTTGAAGCGCTGGCTTTAAATCTTACCAAATATGGTTGTGATTACATGAACAGGAATATGTTTTATGGTTATATTGGATAGGCAGCAAGGACTAAACACACAGTGACAAATTAGTATCCAGAAATATGTGTTCATACAAATTACAATTCATTATTTAAGACTTGGGACAGAGCCTTCATGAAAGCCACCAACATCATTTAGTGTGTAGCTGTGTAGCAGTACAGTAGTTTCATCAGCTGCTTGGTGTATCATAGTAATTGTCCCTTCTTCAATGACAGGTGTCCGCTCTGTAACTGTTGCATTGCACCTAGCCCCACCCAGTCACACCTGCTAGTGTCAACACCCGAGGTCAAGGAGGGCCGTACGCCTCAACCTAGCCTTTAACTGCTCTAACCACCAGTCTGGTGCCTGTCTGAGCCCATCCTCCGTCCCTCACTCGTCATCTTTATCTCTTTCCCTCTCACCAGGGTGTCAACGTTCTCACCTTATCTAAGTGGCTCTTCTCCAATTTAAGCTAATTGCTAACCTCTTTAATACCAGCCACATCCTCTCCTGTGATCCTGACTAGCTCGTTTCCTTAGTCATTAGGCCTCAGCTCCTTATCTCAGCAGTGTTGTCCTGAGGCAGTGGACTACTGTAGCGCCGTCTCCCTCCCGTCATCACAGCTGACTCAGGTCTCCCCCACTCCCCCCCCCCCCCCCCCCCCCTTCCTGCCATGACTGTCCTCTCATTTAACAAGGAATGCTGCAGGATTTTGGATTAGAGATGTGTTCATGTCCTTTCCTTCGAATCATCTTCATCCCATATACAATTCCACCTCCTGCTCTGCAGTCATGCCCCCCCTCCCCCCCCACCACACCCCCACCCCTCCCCTCAGGGGAAGTATCTGCAGTTAAGGGAATAAAGCTGCGCCTGTCAACGTATCTGCACCCACTCTGTCTCTGTCTTTCTTTGAGACAGCTGGTCTCACTGGAGTTCCAGTGATTGTTAACGTTAGTCAGCTCAGGCTGTTATCTCTATCCAAGAGAATGAACTTGGCAGGATGACAGCCTCTTCCACAAACACTCACAGATGCGCACACACAAACAAAGAACACAAAGTCTTACTTAGCCCTTTACAGGCATACAGAACAGCTACATATTTTGGTGTAATTTTAATCAATGACATTCAAAATGAGGTTGCTTCACCCGGGCCAGAACGCCTGTGGCCTTGAGCTACATAAAACACTCACTAACTGTTCTTACTAGAATTCGTCTAATCCAATTAAAAGATAATCTGCAAAATAGATGACATTTGACAGACTTACAATATTTTCATCAGGCACTCCAACTCACCCAATTTATGACCTGTCAAGTGTTGTTAGAAGCACTGCTTTTATCATCTTTGACAGCTTTCAACATGCTTTCCCCTCATCCAAGAATTATTATACCTCATCTTTCTGTGAACTCCTCAACATGTTGGAGAAACAAATAAGCAGCATTGCCTGATGTTTGTGTGTTATATATATTATGCATTATAAACTTGTTTATTTGCTTTTTTTTACAGACTCAAAGCAGAATGAAGCTGATAGCAGATAACTATGAGGAAGATCACATGCATCCACAACATCATCCTCATCACTCTCACCACTTGCATCCAGCAAACATGCATCATCGAAGTCTGCCAAGAGGGCCCCCCCATGCCAACCACCGGCCCCCTATTGACCAGGTCAGTATAAAGGTGCACGCACACACATCGATGGACCCTCACCAACACAGACGAGTTTAACACTTGGGCTGGTTTACACATGTTTATATGTTGTGGGCTCTCCTCTTCAAGCTTCTAAAGTTGATCCAATTTCATATTTATCATATCCACTGCCAGTCAGTTGTGGTTGTACTCAGCAGCAAAATTTCCCGTCTCACTTCTCCTCTGTCTCTTTTCCTTCAACTCCATAACTTCCTGCCAAGTCAGAGTTATCCATATCATCGAGATAAGGAGCCTGAAGGGGAAATCTGCCAAATGAGTGTTTTTGATCGATGGGATTTGTGTGTGAGAGTAGTTTATATATCATTCATCTTTTATATGAGCTACTTCTCTCTGTCTGAGTATCATATCCAGACTGCCCTGAGGACAAACTTAATGTGTCTGTGTGAAGACAGCTGAGTAGAACAAACTGTTGTTGTAATCAGGACAACGTGCCTGTGTATTGAATGTGCATGCATCCAAGAGTGCATACAGTAGGCATGTGCATGCCTGTACGTGTGTGTGTGTGCGCGTGTGTGTGCTCGTGTGTGTAGAGACTCCTGGAGATACACACCTGAGTCTCTGTTGGTAAGATGTACCTAGATGAAATCACAAAAGGGAGCTATCAATCTTCAAAGAAAAACAGATGTGATTTCACGGTCTTTCATTTAGCAGATGAAAGCTTCCAGTTATTTGATTGCAAAATAAATTCATCAAAACTATTGTTGTAAGGGGGGATTCCAAACTGTAAAGATAAAGTTTGTGTGTATGTGCAGGGTTTAGGTGTAATGCCTGGGGGTTTCCCCCTGTGTCTCAATTTCCACATCTGTTCTAGTTGATATGCATAAAACATGTTCTAGACTTTATAAATGTCTCTAAACCTGTTATCTAAATAGTGTGGGGGATCCCCTGTCCTGCATATTATACCTCCCAAAACACACGCATGCATACAGGCACACAGTCATATTCATGCATCACCCCACACATACCTCAGCAAAGTGAAAGAGGACAGAGTAGCTGGTTTTAATATTATGTTAGCCCTTCACGCCTGTGGAAATACTCTACTTTTGATCCTTAAAAGAATGTGAGGGTCTGGGGTTGATTGACATCCATATGCATTCATATTTCACCCAGAAACAGTTATATAGTCATATGTTATATAGACAGTTATACAGTTATATATTATAGTTGGGTGTCTTTATGTGGGCATTCTTTTCAGCTATATATTGAATCTACATCCAATTAAAAAAAATATGTAACATAACATGTAATCCAACAGGGACTCATTTTAAACTCTAGTCATGTAGTTTAGGTTATGTTTTGTTGCATTTTTCTTATCTGTTGCAATTATGTTATATTAAAATTATAAAGCTTTTAGTTCCCTGCATTGTTTGAACGTTTACCAGAATACTTGCTGCCACATTAGGCCTCACACTAAAGCTGAAGGGGCTCACATTTTAGTATCACATATTACTCTCCTTTACTTTGCTATTATAAAAAAAACACCTCAATATGGCTTTCCAGCACCGTTTTACTGCAGCAGTGTTTATAGTGTTTGACATTTGAAACAGTAGCTTTCTGAAAGCGATAATTCAACTCCTCAAGTTGGCCTGAAAAAGCTCTGCAAAGAGTGTTATTAGGGTTGCTGGGAAATCTTGTTAAGAATGTGGGGAATAACAAAATAACTCATAAATCTTGGCCGATTGGCTGAATAATACTTTCTATTAAAGTTGAAATTGTATGTCTATAAAAGGGAACTGTAATGGCTCACGCTTTGAACGCAACATTTGGGAGAAATTGAAAATCAAAAAGGATTTACAAGAGGGCAAAAATAGAGCTTCAGGTAGTTCAGATAAAAATGTCATCACCCTTGCACATTTGCAAATATAGAGATGAAGATGAGTTGACTAACAGTTTGCATCTATGTCCTACTCAAAGAAGTGTACCAAGATCATGCCTTCTGTCCACAAGCTACAGCCAAACTCATTTGGATTTAGCCATGTTTTCTCCGTTGCTTTCCCTCATGTGTCAGCAACAAACTTTTAAAAAACAGCAGACCCTGTTGAGGTCAGCCAATCACCTTGGGGCTTTTCCTCATAGCTGATCTTTGAACTTATAGGGAAGTTTGGCAGAGGTCAGGGGAAGGCTTCAAAAGTGTGCATGCGTGCACACAGCCTGGGTGTCACTGAACCCTTTGCGCTGAGACTGTTTTCCTTCCAAACACAGGACTTCACATCTGCTTTGATCGCCCTCTTTCAAATGATTGATCACTTGATTTGTTTGTTTGCTTTTTCGACACTTTTTCCTGCCTCTTCTTCCTAATTCATCACCCCTTCTCCTCCTTTATCAAATTTCTTTCTTTCTCAAACTCAAAAACATTTTTTATAACACCTCTTCTGTTTCTTCTTTTAAGTTCTTTGATAAATTACCAATACATTTTCCTTTCATTCACATTCATTCTCTCTATGCCTCCTTGCCTTTTCGCATCCGTCCTGCAGTTGTGTGTCCCCAACTGTCTTTTGAATTTAAAATGTAATATCCAACAGCAGCTATAGGTTGGTGGTTTGGTTTTCTTCCTTGCCCACTGGATGATTGATTATCATAATGAAAATGTAACAAGGAAGGTCTGTATTCACCCTGTAGACAACAATGCTTTCCAAGATAAAGTTAGTGCCAAAGAATTACAGTGATCATATATGCGTTTTCTCAGAGACAGAAATGTACACATTGCCTGCACATCTAACTTGTATCTTATAGACAAAAAGCACATTTGGAAACATTACAGTAAAGTGGACAAACAAACACAAGCTCACTCTTAAAGTTTTCCAAGGAGCCAAACCGCAATTCTAAAGCTTGACGCTACAGTTAGTGGGTCCATCCCAATCCTCAAACTACACTCCCTGCTCTCTACTTCATCTGTGATGGACTTGAGGACAGGTGAATACTAATCTTAGGAGACAAGATCAGGAAGTGGACTTAGTCTTTTTAGATGCACCCCAGGTCTGCATCTCAGCATGGAGTGTGTGCAAGTTTGACGATCATGTTGTGTTCATGTTGTTCTCGTTTAGCTATACCAGCACCACTGCCAGATACTTGGCAGCAGCCTCAGAAGGAAATAGAAAACAGCCATAAAGTGTTTATCAGAGGCAGAATTATACAACCTTTTCTTCTGGGTTGTTGTTCTTTTTTCTAAGCTTTAACATGCTGTCTGTTTCATGTTTATTAGATGTAGCACATGGTATTTGGCCTGTTCTGTGTGTGCTTGTGTGTATGTGCGTGGGTGTGTGTGTGTGTGTGTGCGTGTGCGTGTAACCTGGCAGAATGAGTGGTTAAAGGTCTGGCTCTGTTTACAGGGCCTGTCACAGCCATTCACTACACATTAGCATTTAGCATATAGCATGTTCCATTGAAATGCTATTATATGTATAGCTTAGCTGTTTAGGTGTAGCCTACTGAGTTTACTGAGCCTGTCAAAACCACTCAGGCCAACCAAAGCCACTGTGGGGTGCAGCCAAAGCCCCTTGTGCCTTTCAGGTCTTGTGTAGGGTAGGCTCTACTCTGCCGGAGCCTTAGTGTAGCATTATGCAGACAAGGGTTTGGCTGCCAGCTCATGCTAACCATTGTAATGTTAGTGTCTGAGTGAATTAGCTTTCCCGTTAGCAGGGCTCTTGTCTGCACTTTTTCAGCGTCAAAGAATCCCCTTGTGTGTTCAGTTATTGGCATCTAACAATTACACTGAGGAAAGCTATTCATGATATCATAGAGGTTTTCTGAATGAGGAACATGAAGAGGACTGTTTTGATTAAAAGTTTCAGGGGGTTAAGAGGACTGTGAGATTAGTCAATGAGACTTGTAAACTCTTGTAGTAACATAATGGGAGGAATTTGTTTTGGTGCGCATTGGCCCCCACTGAAGGTCTCTGAATGCAACTGCACTGTCGTGAAACACACAGTGTATTGAAATAGCCAGCTCAGGGTCGGACATACAGCCTACTGTTTCGCAGAGCTCTGGCCATCATGTTGAAAACCTGTCTAATATTTTCCCACTTCCAAAGTTATATGGTCCTGAAAGCAGGGGAACTCGCGCTCTGTGTAAATGCGATGGACGCGATTCTCCCTCTTAAAAGTTATTGAACTATTAGATTGACTTCGAACTACTATTTTCCTTTGGAAAATATACAAAGGAAATACATACTGTTGCTTTAACCTCTGGACTGGAGTTGTTCTGAGAAGAAGATATGTTCTGCTGCACACATACTGTTTGTTTTTTTGTTGTTGTTTTTTTACATAGTGTCATCATAATGGATGTTAATGGTGACTTCTTTCCCTTGTACTTCTCTCACAGGATGACGAAGAGGGAATATGGGCATGATGACCATCATGATGGAAATCCTGCATCCATTCGTCCACAGTGAGTTTCTGTTTCACTACTTTTGTTGCATTACACTCCGTTTAGTTTTGGGATAATATACTCTATATTTTTAATGATCTTCTGCACAAAAGGCTTTCTCAGCGGGCTTGAGTAACCATTAGTCGGGAACATTGATGGTACCACAATAACCACAGTATTACCCAACTCTGACAGAAGAGAGTGTAATAGAACCCGGCTTCTTTTCCCATTGCTTATGAATTTCAGTCAACTAAAGAGCCTCAGTTTATTCAGGGGTTTATGGCTGCCTGTCTGTGAAGTGCTCATATGCAGGTTTTGCAACGTGCTGTGTGTGCACTCTGTGGCTATATAGGTAACTGTGTGGAATTAAGCCTTTACACACCCAGCAGCCCAAAGCCAGCGTACCATGGCCCTTGGGTGATAAAAACGACAACAGTGAGAAAAACCAGAGATGGACTAGTCTGTCTCTCCGTGCCCCTTTTTTTCAGTTGTAGTAAAATGTTACAGCGCTACCCCACCCTGTTTTGTGCCAGTGTGTGGGGTAGTTAATTACAATACAACACAGAACAGTCATGAAGTCTGTTTTTTTTTTCAGGCTGCAAGCTGAAAAAGCGTAAAATGAAGAATGCAGAGTCATAAAGGATAATTCCTGTTTTGGGAGTTTTATATCGAAGCCCCCCCATAGACTCAGGATGCCTTTGAACGCAGACTTGCAGAAAAAGGTCTCTGCAGGGTGGGTTATGGTTTGCTTCGATCAAATACATCTGCGTGTAAGACAAACAGGGACAAAGAAAGATTTATAAATGTACATGTTAGGAGTGAGGGATAAAGACGGGAAAAGGGGGAAGGGGATATTTGCATGCATTTATGTGAGAACTAGGGCAAAAACCAGGCAGCATGGCACACTCATAGTTTCCAGTGTATCTCATTCTTCTCCCGAGTAATCCACAGGTGGACCATCACAAGCAGATTCTGTCTCTAACCTCAATGACTTAGTAGTTGTGCACTTTGCCTCAGTGCTGCTTGTGGGATTAAAAGTCCTATAGATTGTACATGAGCAAACGGGTTGTCTTCCTGCAGTGCAAAGCTTTAGTGGGTTTAGCTAAGATGTTTATGTGTGCATTTGCAAGCCGGTCTGTGTATATGTGTGTGTGTGTGTGTGTGTGTGTGTGTGTGTGTGTGCGTGTGTGTGCGTGCGTGTGCGTGCGTGCGCGTGCGTGCGCGCATGTGTGCGTGTGTGTGTGAGCAAGAGAGCGTTGCTGAGCTATACAGTGCCGGAGCAGCCCACATAGCCTATAATCCAGTCCATGTGTGCCGAGAATGCAGCAGTGTCAGGATTCACCGTAATGAAACAGACCACACTGCCCCCTCTCTTTCCATCTCTCCCTCTCTTTCCATCTCTCCATTTTTTTTCCATCACTCCCGGTCTTTCCACCTCTCCACAGATTTCAGCTTCCCCCCCATTCTAACGAATATTCCTTCAAGGTAAACCTATAGCTGAGCCCGTCGCTAGCCTACTGCTTGGCTATCTCCAATCAGATATCCTGACTGTGTGCATACGCGCGTATGTGTGTGTATGCATGTGTGTATTAGTGCTTCTTATCCCAATCTAATAGAATAAGCCCGGCACATTAGCCTTTAGCGCAGAGTGGTGTTGTGGCTAGCGATATCAGTGCTGCTCATCTATCCACTGCTGTTATTCTGGCGGTGCACAATGGGAGCGCAGCTAACATGTATTAGCCATCCTCCATGTGAGAACAGATGGGAGCCATTTAGCGGTGTGTAGCTACAGCGCAATAAGGCCAGACCTAATCCTCATATCCTGTCCCTGAGTGAGCCTTCCCTAATATGAGCGAACAGAGATGACAGCACCGATAGACAAATAGCCGAGGATCTGTGTGCATGTGTGGGTCTCAGGCCCTTGCAGGCCTTTATGTTAGCTTTCGGTGGTGATTGGTAATTCTTATGACTAACCTTGACTCCAAGTTTAAAGCTACATTTTGAATTCCACACAAACCAAAGTGCTGAGTTTTAGTTGGCAAGTTCTGAACTTCTCAGCGTCCAGGTGTGGATTTGTGTTTGTTAGCTATGGTTTTGTCTAAAAGGACTGAGGGCTCTGATTGGCTCGTTGCGGTTTTGTTTGTCCTGCTGTTGATTACAGAGGTTTTGTTTACCCTCTTGGCCTCTCAGACCCCTCCTAATGAAATAAGAATGCCCTTTTGGACAGGGAGCACAAGAGAAAGGAGGTTGGAGGAAAAAAGTGGAAGAACATGGGGCCAAAAGAGTGAAGCAAAGTGGGGGGAAGAGGTTTTCTGGAAACATTATGCTTTTATCCCACCGTGAAGTTATTTATACTGAATGAAGCAAAAAGAAGCTGAGAGGTTTTCCAAGTGGGGACAGAAATATGTTTGTGTGTGTGTGTGTGTGTGTGTGCGCGTGTTTGTGCAGGAAGGAGAGAGGCCTTGTTCAGGTTAAAACAAGTCAAGAAGATGGCTTTCATTTGCCCATGCTGTGTTTGCCCTGAATACAGTGTTTGTATACATTGTGTATGTCAGTAAGTTCTCACTTGTGTGTTCTGGTCTTAAGTAAATACAATTTTAGTTAGAAACAGAATCTGAGAAACAGATTTTCAAAATCAGTCTCGAGTAATCATTGTTGAGCTTATTATTCGAGTAACTTTTCACTACTCCAATAGTTCCACTCAGAGTTACAAGTGCAATCGAGCTCTCTGGGTATGTATAGATATATACTTAGTAAGAAAATTAAAATCTGTACACAGCGGTTTAACTTCTCCATCTACGGCTTCAGCTTTATATACACATATACATTGATAGCCTGATTACAGCAACATAAACTGCTTTATGGCAGCTACGGTAACTCTCAAGGGACTCATAACTCCATAAGGCAAGAGTACATATCAAAAGATGACAATAACGTGCACAAGTCTTAAGGTCTAAGGTTCAGATTGTGTCACAGATTTTTGGTTTGGATCAGATAATTTTTCAAATTGGCCAAAGAAAATTGAATATAACTTCTACTCCTCATCTAGCAATGACTCAAACTGTGCATTTGACAAGCACTATAAATTAAAATGCATCTCCATGAATTATGAAAAAATGTATCACATCTTCAGTTTTCTTCACTATGTACACATTGCTACAGTTCCAACAATAAAAACACAAGCAGTTAAATGAATCTGAGCTCCCTTTTAATTTAGAAATTTCCTTAAAAATCTGTGAACAACAGACTGTGATATAAAAAGCTGCAGCATTTCAATAATAGTACTTTTACAACACATCAGGGACATCAGGGTCATATAAATCTTTATGGTGGCCACCTCAGCCTTATTTTGTACCGCCCCCAGCCCTCTGTCAAAGTCTGATGTGTGTGTCATATAAATCACTGCTTTTCAATGAAAGTACCTGATTAATTTGTCATTACTAACTGCAATTATGGCATTATGCTGATGTGGAGAAGGCACTGCATTGTAAGCTGTGCAGTAAACTAGAAAAGGCTCTACCAAAACTGCCAAAGGAGAAGTCAAAACATTTCCGCAGATAATGGAGTATTTTCTCCCGCTACACTGCTGTACATACATGTCCTTTACGCATATCCAACTTCCAATGAATTGCACATGCCAGTAATTAATAATCTACACAGCTCCCCGAACACATGTTCGACCTGCAGAGGACTTGTTCATATGAATGAAAGTAATTCTGACTGAGGGTTTGATGCAAATTAGTTTTTGCTTATCAAAATAAAGTTAGCCCAGTTATTGATTGAAGTTGGATTTATCTATGGACAAATAGAGACTAACACAAACCAAACAGCACTTACAGCACTATGTGTGCACCAAAGTGCCCCTAAGCGAAGTACTCCATGTTGCTTTTAGAGAACAAGTATAATTCCTATTCGAACCCATGCTCAAAAAAGTTCCAGCAGTGTGTAAACATGGATGCACGTGCACATACATACTTGTGTGTTCATTTGGATAATGTTTGGGTGTGTGGGTATCCCTCACGTGAGTAGCCATGTTGTGCAGTATGTCTTTGGTGACCAGTGAACCACAGCCTGGAGGTCAGTGGAGGAGTCTGACCGAGGCCATCCCTCAGCCAGCTGTCAGCATCATCAGTCTGCCAGGCCAAAGGTTGTTCCACCAGGTTGAACATGAGTGGCGAGAAGTCAATAACTCTGCTGCACCTGAGAAACAACATCTGGGTGTGCTGTGTGTTGTATCCATTCTGTCCATACTGAAACAACACCTGAATTATTTTCCAAATGGGCCCCCTCCTTTCGGAGGTGCAGGGTGTAGTGAGCTTTTCTGTTTACACACAACATCAAAAATGGCTGATGCTGTTGGCTGATGCAAAAAAATTATGTTAAATTCTTAAACGATACAAAAGTACAGGTACATAGCTAATACATGTTCAGAGATCTGTATTAAAACCTTGTTTATAGAAGGATGTTGTATTGTCTCTGAATGACGAGCTCTTTATCATGTTGAATATTTGCTTACCGAAGTTGTTCTGTGACATCACAATTAATTTACTTCTAAGTAGTAAAATGAAGAGCAGCTATATAGTTGCTTTGTTAATGTCAGTGAATGAAGTTGTAGACAGACAGGACCCAGAGACTCTTCTTCAGCCCCAGCAGACAGAAGAGGAGGACGAGGAGGACGAGGGTGGGAGAAAGGAAAGAGGTTTGAGGGAAGGAAAGACAGTCAATTTTGTGGAGCAGACAAGCTTATTCATGTTTTTTTTGTGGTTTTCTTGATGTTGTGTGCAGGAGAGGACACTTAGACACCTGATGTGTAGATCATAAGACAGTTTGTCTGAGTAAGCTCCCCTTTTTCACACCCACTACACACTCATTACACACGCAGAGACATGGCCACACACACGCTCGTGCAAACCTGCAAATGTGCAGGTGCAAACACCAATATTAAGGGTTTGTAATTTTAGCTCTGGGATTGCAGGTAAATCCCTGCTCATAAGTGCCTATCCACGCAGTGAAAATATGAG